ATATTTATAATGTTTACGATAAGCCATTAATAATGATAATGAAACAAAACAAAAAAAAAGAAAAAAAAGAATCTAACGATGGATTTATCCGTAGTTATATAATTTTATACAACGCAAATATCGTTGTTAAAAATAACACGTTAAGATTTAAGTCAATGTTTTACTGTGGTTAACAAAATTAAAAAAGAAAAAACGAACAAACAAACTAACAAACAAACAAACAAACAAATAAATAAATAAATAAAAAAGAAATGAAAAAATAATAGAGAACATTCTATATCTTTTATATATATATATATATTTTATCAAATTTATTCGCATAACGTTTATATTTTTTATATTTACAATGTTTAGATAATAATAATAATAATAATAATAATAATAATAATAATAATAATAATAATAATAATAATAAAGGAAAATATTAAAAAAAGAAAATTTTTCTTCTTCTTTGTTGTCAGAGCGATACCGAGCGAAAGAACAACCGCGAGAGCACGAAAGAGAACGCGAAAGAGGTTGGGCCAATTGAAAATGTAGCATCCTCTGATACATCGGTCGGTCCGCGTATAGACGTCGAGAGTAATACCGAAGCTCCTTCAGGATGGAGCTCGACTAGGAGTGGCTCTTTGAAAAAGATAAACGAGTCCTACGATGCGAACGCCATCCTGGAAAAAGTTGCCCTCTTTCACAAGCATCGACACGCTCGTGGAAGGGATGCAACAACTGGTTCCCTTCACCGCACCCTTAGTTTACACACAACGGCGATCGAACAGACCTACATGGCCGAGGAATGCGATGAGAACGATTATCATCTCGATCTCGATTCATATAAACCGGTCCAACCGATCCTGATCGATCATGGGGTTGCACTTTTCCCGGTAGCCGCACCTCACACAGGAATGGATCTTCACATCTTACAGGTAATCATACGGAATAAATAATTTTAAACTTTTCAAATAGATTGTTGTCATTTTAATTAATTTATCCTTACGTAAGTACGTATGTATATTTGCGAGAGATTAATTAACGTAATTACCATTAAGGGGATATATAACGTTAAATGATTGAAAGAAATTTATCTTTGTCTACATATATCTCGAGCGCTAATGGTTTTTTTTCTTTTTTCTTTTTTCTTGCATTATCTTTACCTCGTTCTACTTTAGCATTTTCAAAAGTGGCTATGAGAATTGTTCCAAGTCGACCGCGATGGGGATTAGAAAAAAAAGAAAAAGAGAAATAAAGAGAAAAAGACTACTTGCTAGGAGCAAACTGTGAACTTTAAACGAAAGGGGATCGTGACGTTTAATTATGTTGATTCGAACTCTACTATATTCGTGCTTAACTACTTCTCCGTTCTAACTACTTGTTTGCCATAAAAGGTGTAAAATATCGTAAAGAAAAGACCCGGCGTTATTGGTATCCTAATAAATCTAAATGAAATATCTATTTACTGGGATAAGACGAAATTTATATTAGATCGTTGAACGTTCTAATGATAAAGAGAAAATAATGCAATTAGGTGCTACACCATGGTACAACTTTGGTACATTGGGATTGTGAAAGTGGCACTTCGAGAACGGCCTTGGTATTCGCACGAGTAGATCGAGCGTGCGGTACCTTCGTCTGGGAGAAACCACCGTGGAGTCCATTGAAAACGGGCCAACTCGGTTATACCGAGTTCTCGATCACGACCAATCCTGAGGATATCGTACCAGATAGCTTGGTTACCAGATACGCTGTACAACAAAGTGATTGTGCTTCGGTCACTTTGGAGGAAGGATATCTCGATTTGGCCTCCGTTAAAGAAATCATGATCGGTTGTTGCGACCGTGACAGAGAGGCCGATCTTAGGAGTATATGCAAGAGGTAAAAGATCAAAAGATCTACATACTATACTAATGTGTATCATAAAACGATCCTTATTATGAAAAAAAAATCAAAGTATAACTCGCGTAAGTTCATTTGGATTCTCGTCATTATCTCGTATCGTTCATATAGGTACGGCCTACCTGGCTCAGATTCCTGTATCGGCCTCATGTATGGTTCCAATCTACCTGACAATCGATTGCTCTTTTTACTTTGTCCTCCGGCCCTTGGCAAGTGAGTAATGATTTTTGATAAGAAAGATTTGATCGGATAAAGGACAAATTGAAAGATCGTTATCACTTTATTTTAGAATATGGTATATGGGACTTTGTTGGATATTACGAGGCCTGAAACGACAGCGACAGTTAACAGATCGTAGATCGCGTTGGTTAAAAGAAAAATATCTACAATTATATTTCAAAGAAGGTTGCCTCGAGCCTATGACCGCCGATGCGATACGAGTATTTGGTGGTCGCGATTGGTCAATGACCGAAAGTGTTGGAAACCTTTCGCCAACTAGCAGCGGTAATCTACGTAGACGAAACGTTAAAGGAAAAAAGACCAAATCCATCAGCAATATTCATGCACTAACAAAAGTACGCTTATTAGAAATAAAATAGATTTGAAACTGCAACAACTTAATGAGAATAATGATATACGGTCTCGGACCTTTCAGGAGCTCAGCTTTAAACAGTACGATTCCTCGTCCTCGGATGGCGGCTTATCTGCCGCTCCTCTTCGTCACATAACTGGCAGCAGAGAATCCTTGACGAAAATAATTCCAGCATCGCCGAGATCCAGCAGAGATCGAATTCCATCGCGCAGTCCACCCGGTTCGGCCGAAAGAATAGTCACTTCCAACTTGCCTTATTCGAGTTTACAAAGGTATCTATTTTGTTTCTATTTTAAAATAAAAAAAGGAAGAAACATATATGCGTATACATATATATATATATATGTGTGTGTGTGTGTGTGTGTGTGTATGTATGTATATATGTATGTATATATATATTCAGCTATGTATACTTATACTTTTCACTTTTTCATTCTATCGCAATCACTTGGAAACAGCTTACTTTGCGTTCCTAGAGACAAGGACAGAAATGGTGGTGGAGTGCCAGGTGGATCGGAAGCTCCTTGGCAGGTGAAAACACGTACCACTTCCATTATATATGAGACCCAGCTGAACTTTGTCGAGTTCGTGGCACTTTTCCGATCGTTCAGCCTTCGAGCTAGAAAGGACCTACGTGATCTCTTCGGGCAGCTAGCGATCACGTGCCGAAGTCAAAGCGATGGTTCTCTTCGAGACTTTAGTACGCGTCCGGCCGTATTGAGACAGGCCAGCGATGCAACTCCACAAAGAATCGGTAGGAAATGAACATAATAGCTATTTCAACAAGAGAATCAATATTTTGAAACGTTTATCCGCATTAACATGTATTTTCTATTTCTAACGAAGGACTTTTAACGAGGAACAATTCAATCGATTGTCACGAATACAAGAGCAGTAGTAACCTTCGCAAGAAGCAAATCTTTGACGCAGTTGCAGCAGCGAGTATAGTTAACAATTGTTCTGGCGTCGACACGTCCAAGTCCCAAGTAATCACTCTAGCCACGTTTACAAAGTTCCTCGAATCTCGACAACAAGAAAAGCTTACCGACGACGAGATCAAAGCCCTCGTCAAGGTAAATTTCTTAACTTTTCCATCTTACTCTAATTACTAATCAACTAAGTTACCTGCTCAACTACCTACCTACCTACCTATCTACCTACCTACCTACCTACCTACCTACCTACCTACCTACCTACCTACTTATCTACCTATTTTCAATAAACGAACAAGTTAGAGAAGAAATTAGACGAGAACGATTACAAGATACGCACTGGAAAAAAAAAGAAAGAAAGAAAATCGCAATCAGGATTTTATCTGTTTGTACATTCTCATTTTAGAGGCACGAACCAGATCCAGTTTTGCGCACACAGTGGTGTTTATCTTTCGAGGGTTTTGCACGATACATGATGGACAAGGACAATTACGCTTTCCCAAACGAATACGCGACGCCATCGGAAAGCGAAATGCAACAACCCTTGTCTCAATATTACATCGCAAGCTCGCACAACACTTATCTGACTGGTCATCAGCTCAAGGGCGAATCATCCGTCCAGCTTTATTCACAGGTCACAATTTCTTAAGAAATATCATATATTATATAGTAGATAGAAAATGTCTTAATATCTTTAAAATCGATTAAACTTATGACCCACTCGTTCGTTCTCGATTCTTCGATTTGACCTGTCGTTTGACCTATTAGCCTTCAAATACTAACAAGAATCAGCCATTTCCTATCGATTCTATGCCTGATCCTTCCATTTTTAACCTCTCGAAATCGGCGCCGTCCTTCGTTCGATCTTATCAAATATCCAATAGATTCGAATAGTACGTTTGATACAGTCGAAGTTTCGTTTCGACTTTAATTAAATCGTAATCGATCTTATCCTATGAAATTAGTTAGGTCTGTAATGTAACTCCATCCACAGGATCGATATCGACTTCCCCTTTCGAAACTTTTTATTTTACTAAATTAATCTTAAAAATTGAAACGTATATAGGAAATCAAACGATACAAATTCAAATTCGTGATATCGATCTTTTAGGTCCTTTTGACCGGATGTCGATGCGTAGAACTAGACTGTTGGGATGGCGACGATGGATCGCCTCTCATTTATCACGGTCACACCTTTACCACCAAGATACCTTTTCGATTGGTCGTAGAAGCGATTGACAGAAGTGCATTCGTCAGTTCACCGTATCCAGTCATACTGTCTATTGAAAATCATTGCTCCCAGAGTCAACAAGCACGAATGGCACACATCTTTCAGGTATAATTCATTGCGATATATCAATTATCCTCTAAGCTATTAATTTCATTCTCATTTTATACATACTAACATACATACATACATACATATATACATACATACATACATACATACACATCTATTATATACGTACGAAATAAAATTTTCTATTGATTACAGTCGGTCTTTGGTGAAAAACTCGTAACGAAGTTTCTATTCGAAACGGATTTCGGTGAGGATCCTCAGTTACCCTCGCCTTCACAATTGCGATATAGGATATTGATCAAAAATAAGAAATTAGTAGTGGATCCAACTGGGCCGTTAGTTCATCCTCCGGTATCCTATCGTGGTAAAATGTTGATGACAGATCGTGCATCGTCTATGAAACAAATGCGAACGGACGTAAGTAGCACGTCTGTACCCGAGTACTTCAGTGAGGACGAGGACGACGAGGAAGATGACGATGAGGACGATAATATCGATGGTAATAATTTATATTAGATTCTCTTGAATATAATAATTGAAAAAAAAAAAGTATTATTTTTCTATCTCTCATTCTTTTTTTCTTTTCTTTTCCCTACCTTTTTTTTCCTTTTTTTTTTTTTCTTTTCTTTGATTCGTTTCCAGACAATTCAATATCGAGCTACGAGAGATATTTGGGTGGTAATCCATTAATACAAAGCCGTCTAAAATCGGATATGGGAGTCGACGATAAAATTCAACCAAAGCAGAGCAGTCAAATTGCTAAGGAACTTTCGGATTTAGTTGTTTATTTACAAGCTATTAAATTCCGTGGTCTAAACACAACACCGGGAACAGGTACCTCTGGGAAAATTCGTCATCCTTCTCATACCGGACCCGTTCAAAGACACAGTATCGCTGGAATCGGGACCAGCGGTGTTGCTTCCTCTACGGGATCGCCACAATCACTTTCAACGTCTGCTTCGATCGCTAGCGGTGGCAGTAATATCGATAATCTTTTCAGGTTTTATTCTATTTCTATGGTGCATTGAAAGAAAAAAAGAAAAAAAAAAAAAGAAAAGAAAAACAAATTAATATTATCTTCGATCGTTTTCTATCAGGTCGACACGCGGCGTACCAGCGTGCTTCCAGTGCTCGTCTCTAAACGAAAGCACTGCCAAAAAAATTTGTAGAAAGCAGCCATTGGGTGTCGTAGCACACGCGGAAACACAATTGGTTCGAACATATCCAGCTGGAATGCGTATCGATTCGACCAACTTCAATCCTGTAATCTTCTGGGCATTTGGTATACAAATGGTAGCGTTGAATTATCAGACCGACGATGCAGGATTGAATTTGAATGCTGCCATGTTCGAACAGAACGGACAATGCGGATACGTGAGGAAACCTTCGGTAATGTGGGACAAGAGTCACATGATGTATAGGTATGTTGAATTATTTATTAGGTGTATTATGAATAAAATGACAGATAGAATGTGTAATCTTTTTTTTTATCTTATGTTCTTTCTTTTTTCTTTCTTTCTTTTTTTTTTCTTTCTTTTTTTTTTTTTTTTTTTATTTATTCCGTATTTACAGACGTTTCAATCCATGGGACAAAGAATTCGATGGTCTTCACTCCGCTCATTTGACTTTATCGGTAGTGTCGGGACAATACGTTTCACCAACAAATTTCTTTGCCAGTACGTACGTCGAAATTGAGCTGGTGGGCATACCGATCGATTGTGCAAAACACAAAACAAAAGTCATACAAAGCAATGCCCTTAATCCAATTTGGAACGAAAAATTCTGTTTTCAAGTAATGTTCAAAGATCTAGCCTTTCTAAGATTTGGTATAGTTGAAGCAAGCTCGCATCATTTGATAGCACAACGCGTTATGCCTTTGAAATGTCTTAGACCAGGTTACAGACACGTTAGATTGCGTTCGTGCAAAAATAAACCATTGGCATTATCCACGTTATTTATATATTCACGACTTGAAGAGGAAAGTCTCGATTACAATACCTGCTGTCGTGATCACAAGGAAACGTCTTCGAAACGACCATCGTCGGGAAAGGAACCGGACAAATTGACCAGCGTAGATCCAGGTCTCGGTGGTGTCACGTTAAAGAGAAGAATGTTTTTCCTTATGGTTTATCACGTAATACCGGAGGAACCGTATACTATTTTAAAAGTAACCCAAGAAAGTACTACTCAAGAGGTAATGTTGCAAGCGTTACAAAAGGCAGGAATATCGCCGGAACACGTGGACGAATATATTCTTGTGGAGGAGGTGTCACGTGGATGGGAAAAACGAGATCGAGAGGAATTACCAACTCAAAGGGTTCTCGATCCAACCGAACATCCTCTTCAAGCGCAAGCCCTATGGAAAGGACAGGGTCGATTCTTATTAAAACGTGTCGGCGATGATCCAAGTAGCAGAGCTTGGCTTGCATCTATACGAAGTACAGCTGGACATTCAAAATTGGATACAAATTCACGGGATCATTCAACTCATATATGGGACGAAGCAGACACTTTTCTAGTTTGCATTTACAACGTTTCACCCGAAATACCATACGCGATTTTACGCGTACCGGTTAGTAGTTCCGCACAGGACGTATTAGCCCAAGCACTTGTTAAGGCAAGAAGAATGGAGGATCCAATGAAATTCGTTTTGGTAGAGGAATTGGAATGGGGCGGGGCTGGCGCCGTTGGTAGTGGTAATCGTCAATTAAGAGTCCTTAGAGATGACGAAAATGTTTACAGTACGCAAGCGTTTTGGAAGACTCTTGGTCGATTTATATTGAGGGAAAGAGAACAAGCGATACCGAGACGACATTTGTTACCGGCAACATTAGACAGGCTCAGTAAGGGTTTCTCCGTTGGTAGATCAGTATCTCTTCCTGGATCTAGCAAGGAAAAGGTTCCAGTTAGCGAGGCATTATCCGATCCAACATCAAGAGGTTTAAGACATCGTTTATTAATGCCAGGTCGTAGACGAGAAGTCCATTCCGACGGTGAGGATACCCGCGAATCTGATCTATTAAATGCTGCCCTTCATTTAAAAAAAGTTTCATTGAGAAAATTAAGAGTATGGAAGTCATAGTGGCAGTCACGGGCGACGTCGATAACATCGATCTTCGCCGCTCGGAGAAATCAGGTTTAAATGATCTATTCAAAATTAATATCGGACATCTCTAGCCTAACATAACAAAATAATAACAAAAAAAAAATCAATTAGGATTGAATTAAAGTGAAAATGAAAGAGAAAACAATAAGAAAAATTGCAATTTGTATACGAATTCGTACGAATAGGACAAAATCATTATTTCCTCTATCTAACGATATAATGTTATCAAACAAGAAAAAAAAAAAAGAAATATAATGATTGTTTATATAATTGCGGGCATTACCGAAACGTAGAAAAAAAATTCAATTCGATTCCATTCGATTCGATTCGATTCCGATTCAATTCGTCAATGGAAAATAATTTATTCCCTATTATTGGTTTATTATCAAATTCGCTCTTATTATATTCAATTCAATTCGTGTGGCTATTCAATAAGACCATTAAATAATGATGATGTTCCGAATATTATAAATATATCGAAGAATCAATCAAGAAATTATTCAATAGTATATAAAATATCAATTTGAAGTAATCACAATGGAAATTTCTTTCAATTTTCTATAAGCAAATTCAAAGTCAAAGAAATTAAATCGATCTATATCTATGTTGGACCATTATCACACGTTGCGATAGTGTGATAGTCATGGATTAATAATATGGATACCGTATTATGGTGTCTCGTGTCGTCGTGTCGGCAAGAAAAACAAAAAAAAAGAGAACAAACAAACAAAAAAAGGACAAAAAAAAAGAAAGAAAGAAAGAGAAAAAAAAGAAGTTAACAAAAAGCCAAAACCCATGGGCTTTCTTTATAACGCGTCAGTATTATTTCTTAGTACAATTTCATACACACATACACACATATATATACACACACACTCTTTCTATCCCTCTCTCTCTCTCTCTCTCTCTCTCTCTCTCTCTCTCTCTCTCTCTCTCTCTATCTCTTCTCTCTCTCTCTCTCTCTCTCTCTCTCTCTCCCTCTCTCTCTCTCTCTCTCTCTTTCTCTTTCTCTCTCTTTCTCTCTATCTCTTTCTCTTTTATTCTTTTTGTCATAAAAAATATTATCTACGTGAGAGCATTATCGTTTATTTCTTAGATATAAAAGGAAAGATCATGAACTCATTATCGTATTTATTACTATTATTGGAAGAAATTAAACTTCTATATATGTACATACATATATAGTTACGTATATAGATAAGTATATACGTAGATCGGTAATGTTTGCAGAATCGATCGATATTTACTTTCTTACACGCACGCATACGCGCGAACGCGCACGCACATACATATATATATAGACTCATGCACACCACAGATACATACACACAGAGATACATATACATACACATACAAACAAACTATAGTCTCTTCCTCTTTATCTTTTTAAGAGAGAATATAATCAGTAGATTGTATATATTATACAAGGTCGAGGAGTGTCGATTTTTCGTTTCTTTCGTGCTTACGCGTTCGAATAAAGTTGCTTTAAAAAGAAGAAGAAGAAGAAGAAGAAGAAGAAGACGATTCGTTCAGAATACCGAGATAGCCTAATTTTTGTTAATTAACATTAAATAAACTCAATAGCGACAGACGGTAGAATGATGAAATTGATAAGACGAGATATCAACGATGCCACAAGAATCTCGTTCCGTCTTCCAAACGTGTCCTAAATAATATCTATTTTCAAAGAATTACCGACAATTACCTACAACTAAATCCGTATTAATCCAATCGATATGATCGTATTAATTAAATGCAAGATATAAGAAAAGACAAAATTTGTCTCTTTCTCGACGTCTCGTGACATCGTTGAGCATCCATAGAACGGTACATAATATACATATATATATATATATATGTGTGTGTGTATGTGTGTGTGTATATGTATATACGTATATATTCGTTCGAAAATAAATAACCATAAAGAAGAGAGAAAATAAACGAGGATTATTGCGAATTAGTTGTTATCAATGTGAAAGATAAGAGAAAAGAAACGTGTATGTGTATATAAGCGCAAACGAATAATGGCTACTAATAACGATAATTAAACGTTATGTATTTTAATTGGATCGACACTCCCCGAAGAAAAAAAAAAATTTGCAGAAACCCCAAAGTAAGAAAAAAGAAAAAAAAAAAAGGGAAAAAAAGAACGAAAAAAAATAAGAAAATTAAGAAAAAAAGAA